CCCCCCCCCCCCCCCCCCCCCCCCGTCTGCTCAAATACCGTAAGGAAACTCTCCCCCTTGTGGGAAGTTGGGGAGGCCGGGGCCCAGAACAGGAAGGGAAGAGGGAGAGGCGCTCGCTCAGCCCAACAGCTGCAAGAAGGGAGTGAGAGCTTCTGCCTTTAACAGAAAGGAACCAGCACTTGATGGAGCGGCCATGGAGGTCCGGAGAAAAGAGATCCAGGTGGCATATGGGCTCTAGGTCTGCACAGGCCAGAATCCTGCAAGCTGTGATCCTTCCTGTGACCCTCTAAGGAAGCAAAAGTTTGGAGTCTGAAGAAGGAAGTTAGGAAGAGGATTGACACCTTTGACCTTTGATCCTGGAAGAGAGTCCCGAGAATGCTCTGGATCACCAGACAAATACCAAGAGAAAAACACCAATGGGTCCCTGGACAAGTCAAAGGGCCCCCTGGGAACCAACAGCCAGGAGAACAATCAGGACATTTTGGATTCTGTTCATGAAGACCCAGGAGGTCTCTGGAGAAGACACTGAGGCTGGCAAGGAAGGGAGGGAGGAGGGTTAAGGAGGGCAGAGACCAACAAGGTGGGGGGAGAGAATAGGGACAGATCGCCATGGAGAGAAATCTCACCGGTCGTGAAGAAACGACTCGGAGGCCACTGATCAACCACATCAAGACTCAGCTGGGACAAGACTCGGCGCCGGCCTCGAGCAACTTCCTCGCCCACCCGCCGCCTTTCCGACTGCCGGGCGCCCCGTCTGGGGAAGCGGGAGGGAAGTCCAACCAGCGCTCGAACAGCTGGGGCGGAGCCTCCTTCCGAATCCCGACGCAAAGCTGAGACTCAGTTTCGCGGGAGGCGCAGAGCTGGGTGCCGGAGGCGAGGGCGGGCACAGGACCCCTTCCGAAGCTGCCACGCCGGCCTATGGAGAAGCTTTCGGGCCGCAGGGGACGAGAGAAGCGGGCGCGCCCCGGGCCGCTCTCCTCCTGCAGGCGGCCCGGCCTCGGGCGGGAATGTGGCTCGACTGGCGCCGCTGGCCCGCCTGGCTTCTCCACCCGCGCACCTGCCCCAAGGGCCGACGCCTCCACGCCCGGCCCTGCTACTCCGGGCAAGGGGGCGTCCGTGGGCAGCGGCAGCCCGAGCGAGGAGGAGGGCGCGCGCAGGGTCGGGGGTTTCCACCTGCCCGACCTCTCCCGAGGAGCCTGGCGGCCGTCCTCCCCTGCGGCTCACGAGCAATCCGGTGGGAGGGCCCGGGCCGCCTCCAGCCTCACGAGCAGGACCGATAGCCGCGCTTCGCGCCGACTCACCTGCAGAGGCCCCCGCCGCGAGAGGCTACAGGTAGCGAGCAGTGCCGGCGCCGCCTCCCCGCTTCCAGGCCTCGGGATGCCAGTCCGGAAGACGCCGCCCTACCAAGGCCGGCCCTGCCGCCGGCTCCCTCGCGGACGAGCCCTCCCCCGGAGCAGAGGCGGGCGCTCCCTCCGGCCCAGCGGGAGGACCGACGGGAGGACGCCCGGCTGCCCCGCGCTGAGCTTCTCCTCTCCTGGTGGTCCGGCGCCCTCCTCCCTCCTTCGAGTCGGCGGTCGAGATGCGCTTCCTGGGGCCAGGGGGCCCTGCCGCTCCGTACCTGACCGAGGGGGTCCCGGGCGCCGACGGAGAAGCGGAGGGCAGGCAGCATCCCCGCCCGAGATGTGGGAGCTTCTCAGGCATCCCAGCGCGGTTCCGTTAGGCGAAGGGCTGCTACTTTAGGAGACACCCACCCACCGGCCCTGCCAGGTTGCTGGGGTGTCTCCTGGCATTCCCAAGGCCCTTCCCCAAGCTTGGGGGGGGGGGGCTCGGGAGCAGAAATATGTTCCACCAAGGAGCAGCTCCAGGCAGAGCAGGAAGGTTGGACCTAGACTAGAGCAATGAAGGCCAACCTATGACACACCTATCACAGGTGACATTTCACTTGTGGTCACACACCAGGCCCCTGGCAGCCACGCCCGGGGGTGCTGCTCTCCTCTGGCCTCAGCAGAGGAGAACGGGACGTCCCCCCCCCCCCCCCCCCCCCCTTGAGAGGCCGCAAGAACCCACAAGAACATCCTCCAAAGATTCCAGGCCTCAGGCCATCAGGAGCTGCTTAGGATACCATTTCAAGAAGTATTTACAATTAAAAATTATGCATTTCTATACACCTCAGAGCCCCAAGGATTCACCTTCACTGCCCCAGTGCAGCACCGGGTCAGAGGACCCCTCCGGCCTGGCGAGGGGAGCTCCTGTGGGAGGTTCAGGGGTACCACGCCAGGGCAGGCAAGTGGGGCTCAGCTCAGACAAGGGACAAGGCAGAGGAGCTGAAAAAGGTTTATTGAGCATAAACAAAGTGGTCAACACCAGTCAAGGCAGGGAAACGAGAGGAGGTTAAAACAGCCCCCCTTGTCTGACCCCCACACGGAGGGAGCAGGAGGGACTTGGGGGGGCACAGGGGGCAGTGACAGCTCCCTTTGCTAGACCAGGGACACAGCCTTGGGCTAGGAGGGGCTGCGGGGCTTCTCCCCTACACTCAGGCGACGCAGGAATCCCACCAGGCTACAGACCTCCTTGGAGGCGGGGGAAGAGGGGTTCTCCGGCCCCCTCGCCTGGAAGAAGGCAGGTAGGCAGAAGGGGCTGGGGGAGCGGGGGCCCTGGGCGCAGGCGGGGGAGGCAGGCATGGCTGGAGGGGTGCTGAGCAAGGCCTTGAGGCTCTGGCTAAAGCTCTTGGCCTTCTTGCTATGGCTTGCGGGGGCTGGGGGAGGGGGCTCGGGGGCAGCCTCCAGGGGTTCAGGGCAAGGGGCCAGCATGGTGAGTGTGTGCCGCCGGTTGAGGTGCAGGGGCCTCTCCCGACCCTGGGGGCTCCCTGCAGAAGGGCGAGGGGCTCGCGGGGGGGCGGCTGCGGCGGCCAGAGGAAGGAGGAGCCCAGGAGGCAAGCAGGTCCAGCTCCACGTCCTGCAGGCCGGGGTCTCGGGAGGAGCAGGTGGCAATGGAGCGCCTCTTCTGCTTTGCCTGCTCCCGCAGCCTCCGCTGCTGCTCTCGGCGCATGGCGGCCTCCCGGGCCTGGTTCTCCTGCAGTGGTGGTGGGGGAGCCCGAGAAAGAGGTGAGCGATTTCTGCCCCCCCCCCCCCTGTGAACCCCGCCCCCTTGGGCGGGGGGGGACAGCCCCCCCCGGGGGGGGGGGGGGGGGGGACTCACCTCGATGGCCCCGAGGAAGCGCTCCCCAAAGGCGTGGAAGATGCCGCAACACTCGGGCAAGCTGAAGGCCTCGGGGTCTTCGCAGAGGAAGTCGGAGAGACTGGCTGTGGCCCGCTGGAGGTCTTGCCAGGCGGCTTTCACGGCCCTCAGTTCCAGCTCTGCCCCATGCAGGAAGGGCCCCATCTGGCCCTCCAAACCCAGGCCCTCCAGGTCCTGCTGGGCTCCCAGGAGATGCTGCTCCAGGCTCTGCAATTCTGCTGCCAACTCCTGGTCATCGATCCTGCAGCCGCGGGGACACGGTCAGAGGGGCAGCAGCAGAGTGGCCAGAGTGGCCTTGCCCAGGTCCTCTGCCCTGCAAGGTGGCGCTGATCCGGCCTCCCCCCTGGGCCCCCCCAGGGCCTTACCGTGAGGCAGGGGCCGCATGCCGGAGCTTATGGGGAAAATGCAGAAGGCTGGGCTCCTTCCTCTCGGCCTCCTGGACAGGAGACAAGGCTGGTCTAAAGGCTTGGGGGTGGGGTGCATGCTCCGCCCCCCCCCCCCGCTTCCACTGCAGCCCCTTCTTTGGCCCGGAAGGATTTTCTCTAATCTTCTCCTGGGCAGGCGTTTGGAAAGGGTTCAGCCCCCCCCCCCCCGTGGAGCCTGTCCCTAGGAGAACGGGGCCTGAACGGGGCCTCCCCTTTCCCAGGGAGCCTTCAAAAGGAGACCCGGCTGGAGGAGGCCTTTGGGGGATTCCCCATCTACCACCACCACACCCCCCATTGGATCTGCCCGGACACCCCAGCAGGTTTCCCAAAGAGCCTGAGAAAGTGCCAGGCCAAGGCAGGGAAGGAGGCCCCTGTCTCTATGACCAGGACCCAGGAAAGCTGCCCTGCAGACCAGGGTCACCCTCCCCAGCAAAGGCAGATCAATGTGGGCTCCCCCCCCCCCCCCCCGGCCAGCCAGCCAGCCCTGAAGTTCGGCAGGAACCTCCTGGGACAGCTTCTCAAGGCAGCCCCAGCGGAGCTTTCTCCCCTCCCTCCCCGCAGGCCCAAATCCTCACCAAGGCTACGAAATGCAGGAGGTCCATGCCCGGTTGGTTGCCCCTCGTGTCTGGCAACCTCAGGAGGGACGACACGTGAAAGCCGCAGGCAGAGCCAGCATAGCCTCCCTGCAGGGGGAGGGAGCGGGCAAAGGGAGTCATGCGCCTGGACCGCCCACCCTCAAGAGGCCTGGCATGGCTGGCTGGCCGGAGGCTGCCCAGATCTCTCCCCCAGGAAGGGGACCAGCGAGCCGCTTCTTTGGGTGACCGGGCAACCGAGTCCCCGAGAATCATGCCCCCCCCCTTCCAAGAAGAGCCCCAAGAAGGCACCTGGTTCAGGTAGTTTCCCATCTTCAGCACCAGCCGAATGAGGTCATGCAGCTCTTCACACCCCAGCAGCTCTGTGGGAAGGGAGGAGGTGAGCTGAGCATGGGGGGCAACAGCCTCTGCCCCTGCAGGACCAGCCCCTCCCTGCCCCTCTGTGGAGAACCCTGCCGGGCCCCCTCCCCTGCACAGACGATGGGCCCCAGCTTGGCTCCCACCCGGAGGATGGTGGCCCCTCCTGGTCAAGGGGGGTAGGGAGGAGAGAGCCAGGCTCCACGCACCCAAGGATGCCCTGGTCAGGGTCTGGATGGCCGACTGGAGGGCGTTGAGCTGGGGAAGCAGCTGCAGCTTCAGCACGAGGAGCTCCAGGCGACGGGCATAGCTGGGAGACAAGAGGAGGATGGGCGGGCTGTCCAGCAGTGCCCTCGGAATGGAACCCACCATGCCCGGCCTGGCCCCTCACCTGGGCACTTGGACAAGAAGCAGTGCAAAGACCTCGGCCTCAGAGAGGCGGCTCCGGTCCCCCCGGAAAGACTCCAGCTTCTCCACCTTCCCAGGAGAAACAGCACTCATGAATCTGGCAAGGGGGGCAAGGGCCCCTCCGCCCCCCCCCCGAGCCCCCCAGTCACCTCCTTCCCGTCAGGAAGCATCTTAAAGAGCTCCAGCAGCTTCTCCGGCCCGTAAGGGACTCCTGTGCCATGGTAGATATCGGTCACAATGTCTTGAACTGGCCTGGGGGAGGGAGAGCTTCCTCGTGGCTTGTCCCACCTGAAAGCCTGGTGTCCCTCCGCCCCCCCCCCCTCACCTCTTGAACTGCTTGAGAAAAATTCCCAGATTCAGGATTTTCTTGGCATCCAAAAGGGAGGCCTAAAATGAGGGAGAGACCCACCACTGAGGTTAGAGGAGGGGAAGGAATTGGGGCTCCCCCAGAAGGAATTTTGCCATCTTGGAAAGAGTTTGGCAGCCCCTCCCGAGTGCCACCACCTGGCAGTGACTCCCCATTTCTCCCACTGCCCTGCAGACCCCCTGGCGGTAGGCAAGAGGGACTCTGGACCCTGCTCAGGTTCCATCTTGGGGGGCCCTGGCAGCCTTCCCCCCAGAATCCAAGCCCAGCCTCCAGAGAGTTGGCCCTTGCTCCTGCTTCTCGGGTCCCTGGCCGCCCTGCACAGGCACCTGCCTCGTCCCCCCTTGCTTAGCTCACCTCCAAACCGGTTGGCCATTCGTTCCCAGGCTGCCCAACTACAGCAACTGGGTGGCTTGATGCACACTGGAAACCCCCAAGCGGCCCTGTCCCGATCCTTCCCCCACCCCCCAGGGAAAACTGCCAGCGTCTTCTTTCCAATACTTTGAACTGGGAGACACCCAGAGTTGGTTGAAAGATGAGTGGCCCTATATACATGTTTTAAACATATGCATACATATGTGCATACATTCTGTGCCAAGAGGCATTCATCCTGCCCTTGTTGAAGACACCCCTCAACTGAAAGAGTGCTATTCCATGCCCATCCCTGCCACTGCCCCCCTCGTGTATTACCCAGCTCAGGTGGGCTCTTTTGGCCCTCCTTCACATTGTGGTGTGTGTGTGTGTGTGTGTGTCCCTCTGCCGAATCTTCCAGTTTGGTCAGATTAATGTAGAACTAACTCATTTTGTCCTCAGATGTTGCTCCCAACGGTGCATCAAAATTCAGGTCAGTCAATTAAAAACCTATGAATACCACCTACCCCAGACAGACCCCTAAGGGACCCTCAGTTCTGCTCTCCAACTCCCTGTGAGGCCGTTAGCTGTCTTCAGCCACAAACACACAGCAAGGAACTATTAGGCCTTTACCAGTGGTGGGATTCAAACAATTTTACTACCAGTTCTGTGGGTGTGGCTTGGTGGATGTGGCTTGGTGGGCATGGCTTGGTGGCCGTGGCAGGGAAAGGTTACTGTAAAATCCCCATTCCCTCCTCACCCCACTAACCTGCTTTCCAGCTCTGTTCTCCTGTGCAAGGCAACAAAAGAAGACCCAGACGATCAGCTGGGACTCAATGGGAGGCAGAGAATAGATGGGGGCAGGGCCAGTCAGAGGTGGTATTTGCTGGTTCTCCAAACTACTTAAATTTTCTGCTACCAGTTCTCCAGAACTGGTCAGAACCTGCTGAATGCCACCTCTGGGCCTTACTTTCACCTTCCTTGGAAACAAGAAACTCACAAGAAAAAAACTATGCGCTGTTTTTTCACACTGTGCTCAGTTGGGGGGCACTGCACTCTCCCCTCCCAGACCAGCACTAAGCGTGTTGTGTGAATGTGGCCACAAAGACTATGGACAACCAGGTCGATCAGGTCACGTGCGTCCAGCTACCGGGAAGGTCTTCCCAAGGCTGGGTGACCAATGATTCCCCTCCCCCCCATCAGCCCTTCCGGATCGAAGCCTGGGTGGCTCTTGAGCCTTACTCCAGGGAGTTGAACCTCAATTAGCAGTCCACACTAGACTCCGATTTCCCTAAGCTCCCAAAGATTTGGAGGAGCTTCCAGGGCTCTGGGTGCGCTACCTGTCAAAACTCTGAGGACAAAAGAGAGCGCCCCGCCCCCCAAACTATCGAGCTGCCTAAAGAAGGGCCGCAATTAAAGGCCAGACGGGAGAGAAGCGGAGACCGGCCTGGCAAGGCTGCGCAACGGGAATCTGGCCGCGAGTCCCTCGGGGGCAACGCGGCTCTTCTCGCAAGAGGCTGAATTGAGGGGGAGGGGATTTCCGAGCGCCTTTCAAAGATTTCTTTGCCTTGAGCCGTTCCTGTTTCTTTCGGGGCAGTGGGGGGCGGAGGGGGGGTGAAGTGGATGTGCAAACCCGGCCCGCCCCTTTCTGGGCTGCCTCGGCCCTGCGCCGCTCTGCGTGGCGGACACTCGACGAGGCGGGCAGGAAGCGGCCGTCGGAAGAGAGAGCAGTGCGACGGCGCGACCTGCCCAGCAGAGCCCGCGATTGGCCTCCGCCCGGCCTCACCTGCTCGGTCGCGGGGGCAGTCCAGAGGCCGCTGCCGGCCGGTTCCGGCCGCTGTCCGAAGAGCTCCTCCAGCAGATGCCAGTCGGGCGTCCAGTCGCCGCGCTGTCGCGCCGCCGTCCAGAGGTTGGAGCGCCCATGGATGCGCTCCGCCGGAATGGCCTCCCAGTTGAAGTTCCGTAGCCGGACCGGGCGCCGCGTGGAGGGCTCCTCGACTGCCCCCTCGCAGGGCGCGGCGTCGAGCAGGCTCACGGGCGGCGGGGGAGGCGGCGGCGGCGGCGGTGAAGGACCCGCGGGGGAAGTGCGGGCAGAAGAGGCGGCGGCGGCGCCCGGGGCGAACGGGCTCAACGGTCCCGGCTCCGTCCGGTCTTCAGGCAAGGCCGCGGCGGATGCGCCCTCGAGAGTCACCATGGCAGGCAGGGGCGCGCGAGGGGCAGGAGGGCCCGGCGCACCTTGGGACGTCCAGTCGGGGGCAGCGGAGGGCGGGCGTGGCGCTCAGGCGAAGGGCTGAGGCGGAAGAGGTGCTTCCGCTCCCGTCCAGGGCAGCCTATCCTAACCTTAAGCGCAGAGAGGACCCGGAGCCGCCTTCGGGAAGCGCGAGCCCCTGCCCAGGGAGGCGAAACGAGGCGGGGCGGTTCCCGGGGAGGGCCGCGCCCGACCTTTCTTCGAGGGGACGTCCGGCGGAAGCGGCAGGCAAGGCTCGAGCTTCTCTCGGGGCGTCGTCGATTGCAGGCCGGCATCTCCTTCCCTCCCTCGCTGGGCCAGTTCTAGGGCGATCTGCCCGCCGGCCGCGCCCCGCCCGCCCTGCCTGCGTCGCTGGCCTGCCCGACACCAAATCCGCCGTCCGCGGCCAGCTGCAGCGAGGCGGCTCCTTTCTGGTCTCGGCCGTGGGGGGGGTCAACTTCCGGCCGGGTCCTGCCTTGCCTGGCTGCTGCCCTCCCCTTCCCCAGAGGGGAAGCTCGCGTTGGGTTGCCGCGAGCGGCTTCCCGGGGAGGGCTTGGCCGGCGAGCAACGGCCAAGACTCCCCTAAGCCCGGCAGCGGCCCCGGTTACATAGGAGAGCCGTCG